TTTCTTGACATAAAGGTCCTTCCAATGCAGATCAGTGAGTTGTAGCTTTTCTTTCCTGATCCTTTTGTTGATGTAATACACCCCCTTGGCATCCCCATAGAACTGCGCAAAGCCTGGGGAAAAAGGCACACAAAAGTAGCCGAATTTTAGCGCTGACAAGTAGGAAAACAACACCTCCAGCTCATAATTCAACTTGCACATATTTATCTGCCTCAGAATACTCTTGGAATCACGCACTTCACAAAAAATCAAAGACAGTTAACAACTGTATGAATTACAAGGAAAAACCGTAAGGTAGTCAATACTGTTTTTATAGAAGTGGAAGAAGCAATGCATAACTCAAGGCAATGAAACTACAAGAAATCCTCATCTGTTAAAACACAATAATACGTGTACACATCTCAGTGTGGTGAAATCGTAATGGTAAAATGGTCCGTCACATGTCAATATCATGCAACCACAAGACAGGTCACCAGACAAGTTGCAAATTGTGAAGTGACAGGTGCATGTAATGAAAGACAAGAGGAGTTCCTTTGTTATTATCAACATCAACAGAGTGTTACTTGAGATAGGGTGACTTGCAAGGACGTGTGATGCAGTCTTTGTTTGCACCAGGAGGCTTGGGTTAGTCTTGGTTCCAAGACCTCCGCATTCCTCCTTTTAGCTGAAATGGATTAATTCAAACTATGTAGCAGTTTGTCTGGAGATTACACCCTTCAACAGTGACCCTTCGTGATAGCGGAATAAACTACAGGGAGGTCTCGGAACCAAGACAAGACTTCAGTAGACAATTCTGCCAGTGCTCCAACGAGTACAGGTTTATCCATTCTGAGCGTGAACGAGAGATAGCATCTTTTTACACATACACAGCAACAGCACCCCTAGATGTACTATAGGCACAGTGAAAGCTTAACCACTTCCTGCCAGGGAGCCAGGTTTCTGACACGCATTCTTTATATGCACAGCAGGGGTGTCCGAAATCGGACAAAGGGAACTGGGCCTTGTAACAAAAGACCATACTTGTAACAAAAGACCAGACTGCTGGGAATTACCAACATTTTTTCACTCTCAATAGTGGAGATAATCCAGCATTGTTTTGAAACAGTATATCACTGTTTGTGGCATTCAGCGCGAGCAGATTACAACCAGGGACAAAAGCACTCCACCGCCGCAGCGATGAGCCACACAGCACCGCTGCATGCTAGTATGGCCTATTGAAAAGACGTCCACAGTGCACTGTGCCAGGTTCAGGAACAATTTGAAGAAAATTACATCGCACAATCTTGGCTCTTTTTACGAGGCGGCAGGCCAGGCTAAAATACTACGACGTCAATAGATATTGTCTGTCAGTTTAGAGTAGCCACCAGACAGTCATGTGTGTCAGTGTAAGTGTCCAGTAAATGAAGATATGAATTTTTACAGAATTTTGAGAACAGAAAAAAATGAAAAATACTCCGGCCCAGCAGAATCAACATTTATAAATGCCCCCGGCCCAAAGTGGTTAATATGTGGTTGGCACAGGCCATGCTAAACATGCACAACCAATCTGTCAGATTGTACTGTACTTTTTCGTGTGGATTTGTGACTACCGTTACTTTCTAAATCCTGGCTAATACCTATTTTGAAGTGCCCATATTCTTGCAGCATCCATGGAGATATTCTGCCCAGGAATTTACAAAAGACCTCGTCACTTTTGATCAGGACTCGCTTCAGCAAGCCAGGCTTGGCTGGCGTTGGTTGCGGAGCATTGCTGGCCGGCTGACTGTAGCAACAGCAAGGGAGGTACGTATATCTGAAAGATGGACAAACACCTACAGACATGAATACAAATGGATTGGGTGACTCTCATTCAACATACACATATTTCTGTGTTATTGTAAATGGTCTATGAAATTGAACATTACTTTCAAATAAGGTGATGTTGCTTCCCCCCTTTGCCACCCTACCCCCTACCTCTCCTCTGCTCCTGGTGGTGTGCACTTTCAGGGAGAACAAGAGAAAGAGGAATATAATATGAAAAACAAGTATGAGGTATCAAAAAAGAAACTAAAATTGGAAGCTGAAGAAAAAAGTAAAACTCAAAAAAAGACAAATGCATTCAAACTTTTAATGTACACAAAATGTCTCTTTGTACTTTGGACATCACAAACTAAATTACTGCTGTTATACATGTATTACTGTTACGCCCCAACTATAGCATAGGTCCCAGCTATAGTTGGGCCCCGTCCCAACTAGAGTGCTACAGTTGGGCTGGCCCAACTACGGCAGAGAGGTCCTGTGTGCATGATGTGCCCAGCACGTGCCAAAGTCATATTGTTTATAAATGTGATGTCATTGGTCACAGGGCTAGATGAACAGATGAAGTGCCACATTTTAGATGAACTTAGATAATGTTGAGACATTTGCCACACATTGGTCAACAATAGTTGGGCCAGCCCAACTGCAGCACTACAGTTGGGACTGTCCCAACTATAGTTGGGGCTTGCATGTATGCTATAGTTGGGGTGTAACATTACCACTCTGCTGCTCAGATGATTGGGAGCATGCAAAGGACTGTACCCAGGCCTGTGTCAAATTCAGAGGACTCATTTCTTCCAACATGATAAACAAGTTCGTAAAGTCAAACCCAAGTCAATAATTTGGGGATCATTCTGATAAGAGTTCCATAATACACAGACATCACTACAATTTTCCCTTGCGGTACTTATTAAACCGTCAGAAAGTGATAAAATGTCCTAAAAAGTTAAGTTTAGCAGTGAAACTGTACAGGCATTTACTTACAAGACACAGTTTTCGAGACCAGTCTCATAGGATTTGTGCACAGGGTGCCAAGTGATGCCTGCAGAAGGAACTCTCTTTTCCTAATCGCAATGTTTGGCTACTATACATCATGTTCCCGGTTCACTTCCCACATACATGATAGGCTAGCTTTATTTTACGTGTAGGCCAAACTAGAAAATTCACGGCTTGCCCGTCATCCAGTCAGCCAATCCCATCAACAATGGGGCCGGGGCTGTGCTCTTTGCGTTAGGCCTATCTAGTAATACGTTACATTTCCTGAACATTAGGCCTAACGTGTATCAAAACAGAAGTACCGTTAGGCTTACATGTGGCTCAAAGTTAGACTTACCTAATACTGTACAGACCACGGGGATGTGAATGAAATGTATCAAACTGAAAACAAGATTCGTTCAACGTGTTCATGCTGGCGTTACGATTAATATTGCGAGTAGCAGCCCAAACATTCCGACGAATCAAGGAGAGCGCCATATTGAACAGCTGTGACTGTAACACGTGTTTCGTCAGGCTAGGCCATTTGGCGAAATGCGCGGCGCCCGACTAATTTTTTTTTTATAAATGAACATAGATAAAGAAATCAGGCGACATGATGCAAAATAAAACGCAAATTTCAAAACACGCTTCTCAAAATAACTGTAAATGTCCCGGGTGGTCTCCGGGTAAGAGCTGAAAATAAGTGGGGCACTGATGTAGGTGTCACAGTGATATAAATAAACATGAACATTACCTTATTCAGCCAGCCACTACTACTGTGAAGCATGTGCCTAATTTTCTCAAGTACCGAAGTACTAAACCACACCGAATTTGTCTACTGTCCCATTCAGGCATCTTCCTCCATGATTTGACGATATTATCAGTCTTGATATGCTTGAGCTCGCAGACGGTCGTTGAGAAATACATGCCTAACTTACCAGCTAGTTTAAAGGGCTGGAACCATTTCCTAACTTTTTGCTGATCAAAACGGACGGTGGCGAAACTCTTGCCTAACTTTTCCTTGAGCTGGCTAATGGTCTTGAAAGACGAAACACGGTGTGCCTAACTTTCCACTGGGGCAGCTAACAGCGACAAAACATTTAACCAACAAGGAGCCAATCTATGCACTGAAAAGCAAGGACGTTCATGACGTCACGTGTAGTAAAAATCATTGCCGCTTGCCGCGTCCGAACTTTCTTTTGACCAGCCGACAATATGAAGAAAGCTTAGTAATTGATAAAACAAAGTGTCATAAATATGCAAAGACATGTGCGCACGTGTCACCAAATTAAGTAAGCATTGGCTGTTAATGCATCAAGTGTATTGGGTGTTGGTCTCTGTCCTTTTTAAATATCGTGTTTCCCCCCTGTTATCACACAACTTCAAATTTGAATTGGCTGGCTGGATGCTTCTAGGTTTTTGCAAATAGCACAAAAGCCGCGGCATCAAGCTAGCTCAGTGGGAAGTTAGGCAAGTATTTCATGACTGCTGATTAGCTAGCAGTGTCAAGTTAGGCAAAACTATCCTGACCATTATTTCCTCGATAAAAAGTTACACAAATTGAGTCGTGACCGTAATTAGCTTAGTGGATAACTGGCCAGACTTTTTACTGTTAATTTGGAATTAATTTTAATGGAAACATTTGGAAAAGCTATTTTTTCACAAACCGTTGGCTCACCTCACTGGTTCAGTGGAAATGTAGGCTACTTTCCTGTTTTTATATGGCCATAAACGGAAAATTGGCGGCAAACTCTTCATGATCGTTCTCAGGCTCCATTTGAAATTAGGTTTAAACCGTTGGAAAGTTCAGGTAATTTTTTCCAGGCCATAAATAGAAAGTTGAAGACAACCCTATCATGACCACTTTCTGGCTGCATTGTTAGCCTTATATTCATATGACCATTATTATGGCTGGCTCAGTGTTAAGTTCAGGCCTATGTTTCATCATGGAGGTAGGAACCTCCATGGTTTCATGACCATTAGTTGGCTCAGTGTTAAGTTCAGGCCAATGTTTTAGTTGGTTCAATGGAAAGCTCAGGGTTTTGTTTTCATGACCAGTAGTTGACTTAAGGAAAAATTTGAGTTTTTCTCACAACTGATAACTTGCTGGCTCAGTGTGGAATTAAGGTAACTTACCTATGTCCTCTACTGTCAAATATTACCAAGAGACACAGTCAGTCACATTAGTATACACATTTATTTCATTCCTTGCACATATACAGACATCATTTTTCATATTTACAAATAGGGCCTATAGAGTCTGGGCACAGCTGCTTGAAGACAACATCACTGAGATGCCTCCATTTTTAACATGGAACAAATTCAGTCCACAAGCATACTTAACACGGGAACCTTTTGCTTGACGAATTTAGCTAGGTTACCAGCTAAAATATTTCTGTGATGCATCCTGCTTGTGGCTGGTTCTCATCCAATTCTTGGCTCTTTTTTCTCCTTGGTGGTGATCTGATCTGATCTTTTCAGATTCTGTCACATTTGAGGCTGATTTTGTTTGGAAGTTTTCAAAGACTTTGACACTTTGCAGTCTTTCTGAAGCAGAATCTCACAAGTCAAACTAACACTATTGGCAGAACACTCTATGAAAATTCAAACATATGACTCTAGAAGTCACATGCTTAAAGCCACATACGAGTACATACATTGCTTGATCCTGGCAAAAGAACTAGAAAACCATAGATCTTCATTTACTGCTTCATAGCCTGCTTTGTTCCAAATTAAATTTCAGAGAGGGTCTTTATCTTTGCCTAATGAGTCCCATCATTATAGAGTGTTAAATGTTGTTACATATTTCAAGCTGAGCTATAATTTTTGCTTTTATAATGCATAAAAGTACACATACATATAAATTATGCAGATACATCTCAAATGTATCACAATTATTGATACAATATTTGGGTGATATTCACTCCAGGTGTGCTGTTACAAATGAAGTGCATGTTCTTTATCCAGTTCGTAAGTGTGACGTCACTTCAGTTTAAACCACGCCCACTGCACACGTGCACTGCACATAGGGTTACATGCATTGATCGCCGTTTACATGGAACCATGTTAACGCGCAACTTCAGCGATCACCCAATGAGAGCCTGCAAATCGTGAGGGCATTCGCCTTTGTGACGAATTCACTTACAAACCGGATAATACTTATGTGAAGACTAATGAAATCCTTGATGAAGCATGAAATCCAATAAGCTTTACTTATCAAACTACAGCCACTAATTCCGAATTGCACATTTAGACGGGTCAAATGACAGAAATGAAAACCCTGCAAGAATTTTTGGAAACCGTATAAAATTTGAAAATAAGGCTTAATAGTAAATTGATCTGAACTGAAAGAGAATCAAAGTACGGTTAACATACGTATTTATGGGAAAAAAATGGACAGTTACATTTTGTATTCGAAATTGATTATTTTTTTCAGTGGAAACTGCATTAATAAAATTGGAGCAAGAGACAGCAAAATAACTCAGAAACAAACGGCCGAATATCTGCTTCCCTCCCCGACAAAAAAGCTGCAGAATCTCACAATACATGTGTGTGCTTTGTTTAAAACGGGATGCTTTTGCAAACAAAATATGTCTTCTGTGTTGGCACTATACACTAGTGAAAACTGATGTCAGGCACACTACATGTAATTTGCCTCAGAAATTCACTTGTTTCTGTTAGAAAAGAATTGGCAAGGCTAACTTAAATCATGTTTCCTGATTAACCCCTTCAGTGGGATTATTTTGACCGTGACTGCTGGGCTGTGGTATGCCCTGAATGGAGGGCTTTGTCCAGCAGCAGGCCCCATTGAACCAGCAGCTGCATGGTGAATAGACTGTATGTGTGGTATGCACTAATCCTCACCAACGGTGCGGTAGTAGCAGTCCTACGTTGCGAAGGGGTTAAAACAGTGAAACAAAACAGCGTATAATATAGGCCAAAAAAGCTAACTCAAATTACTGTCACTAAGTTTCTATTTCCTGAGCTGCATTAGATAAGGCTGTTTAGTCCTTCAAATTAAAGTCCTTTTAACTCTGTCAAATGGCAGGGACGTTGACCGAAACGCCAAACTGTTGGGAGAATTTGCGGAGCTGTTCCTCGTACTGAACGTTCCGCTGCACCGCTTCCCTATAGTTGTATTTCAGATCTTCTATCTCCTCAAAGAATGCCGGATCAAACTGCTCCAGTTCTTTGCGAAGCTGAAAAAGAAGAGAAAAAACATAGGGAAATTCATCCTTTGTGTCAACAGCGACAAGGGTAGGTCAGGGAGTGATTTGGGGTGACACAGTAAAGAAAACAAGACAAAGAAAGAGGTACAGAAGGCTCAGAGAAAGAAGCAATACATAGAGCTGGGTGTGTTGCAACATGGCATCGTTGCATAGGGTGTGGCAGCTTGGGATGGGCAGGGTGTGGTGAGGTAGGGTGGGATAAGTAGGCAAACAGACAGGATGTTGGGCAGAGGAAGGTTATGGACAGATGGGCTAACAAATACAGCAGGATGGAACCGAAGGTGTGGCAGGGTAGTGGGACCAGGGTAGGTTTGTTGGGGCATGCTGACGCCATGGCAGATCAATGCAGATATTATAAGTGCAGAACAGGGAAGACAGAGCAAGACTAGCTGTGGAAGGACTGAACAGGTAAACCACTATGGGCACAGTTGAGCAGGCCCTGACGAGTGCTGTGTAAAGACTTTTTAGACGAGTGCAAGAACCAGGTTCCTAAGTAACAAGCAGAGCATACCTACCCTTTCATTATCTCGTCTGAGCCGTTCTTGTTCCAGCTGGAGGGACTTCATATCTGTTCTGAGTTCCACGTTCTCCTCCATCAGTTTATTGTAATTGTGGAGCCTTTCTGTCAGAAAATCATCCTTAGTGGAAAAAAGACAACAGAAACGTCAAAGAGGTTAAAGTGTGCTACAAAAGTTTAAGGGTGTTAATTTGATTGTAATCCCCACGTTCAGAGGTGTAAAAACTTTGCCTTTGACAAATTCGGTGACATGTTTAGCTGCTGATGCTGGACGGGAACAAACTGACAAAACTTTAACACCCAATGTGTATTTCTTATGTATTTCTTATCCACTGAAAATAGTGTATTGGTGAATGAGGCATTTCTCATGTAACAAATTAAAAGCTAGTACGAATCACGAGATATACCAACAGTGTCTCTAGAATGGAGAATTTAAATTGCTATGTTCACATGAATTTAAAGAGCTCAATGTACCAGATTTTATCCAAATGTAACTCACAAAAGGGAACTCCCCCCCCAACCGGATAAGAACATGGCTACGCAACTGGTCACAGGTCATTCGAATAGCTTGCAACTCAACTTACGATATGATGGGATTATGAGTAGTTGACGACAGCAGTGCAATGAACCAAAAGAACAAACAGGCATCAATTTCACTTTTTCCCTCGGCTGCTGACCCACCCACAGTTTCCCGATGTAATGAGTGTTCACGAATCCCTTCCATACACAGACACACTGACCTTGTCCCCTTCATTTTCTGCTGGCTGGCTGCCCTGGAGTCGGAACAGCTTCAGTTCATTCAGCAGCTCAGCCTTCTCGTTTTCCAGACGATTTGTTGTCAACCTGCAACACGAAGCAGTGACATCACAGCCAGCTGATTGCACATCAAACATTTACAAACGGTACCCTCCAAAGCTTGACAACATTTGCTGTACATACTTTCCGTTTTCAAAGTGAACTTGGTAGAAGGAACAGATTTTTGGGAGGTGACGGTTGGACCTGTTCTGCAAGGTAGATCCCACCCTATTCTTATGCCATCAAAAAATATGCAAGAGTATCTCACTAACATCCCTAGATACTGAAATACTGCGAACATAAAGTTAAAAGTATTCTTACCCTGAACTGCCTAAGAGTATGTGTTTTGAGAAACTTTTGGCTAACACAGGAACCCTTTTAACCATCCAAAGCCATCCAAAAGATATCCTTTTTATGATATTCCCTTAGCATGCTGGTGTCTGAAGTACCCCTTGTCACAGTAAAAGAGGTTGTGCTTTACGGAGGAAAAATCAACTTGATCCATAATGCAAGCCACACGAAAATAAAGCACTGTTCTTTCCACTTCCTAAGCCTGTGAGTCCCAGGTTAATGTACCCTACTGGGCAGAAAAGAAAATGCCAGAAAATTGAAGTCCCAAACTCACCTTGACTGTTGCAATTCTCGGACCAGATCAGTGTCTGAAGTCAGTGCATCTGCTGGGAATCTCTCCAAGACGGCCACCTTCTCTCTCAGTTCCCCCACCTGCTGCATGAGAGCCTGCTCCCTCTGGGCTGAGTCTCTCAACAACAATTTCATGTCTTGAATTGTGGAATTCTGGGGGGCGCATGATAAGATAATAGTCAACGAAACAACACGAAGACCGGTGTGCTGAATATGCTAGTTTCTTCTCAACTTTTTTTTTCCTTGAATAGAAATTGGGGGTTTCGTAACAACATTTACAATCCATGGCAAGTCAAAATCAGCACAATTTGTCAGGTTGTGCGATTTTTGTAAGATTTATATACATGCAGGTTATCAAGATAGCAGTATTCATGAGAGCTAAGCAGCAGAAAGTACCAGTTTGACTGTGTGTCCAAAGCTTGTGCATGAATGACATGCAGTGCATGGCACCAATTTTCAACTGTATGTGTACAAATCTTGGCACAGTTGAGAGAAGCATACCATCATTTAGAGTGCATGATGGCAACTGACACTCGATGTCCTCCCCCCCAACCCGTATAATTTTGGATGCTGTGGGATATAGATACGCAGATGCACATGCTAGATATCAGCTAAAAACACACATCCTTTGGGAATTTGAGTAAATGTTACCGAACAATTCGTTTCCTGTTTCCAACTACCTTTTTCTCCATGTCCTGTTCCATACTCCTCATCTTCTCCTCATACATCCTGGTCACCACGATAGATTTCCAGCTCTTGCTGTCGGCTCCTTCCAGTTTGGGCCCCCTAGCCTGCTCAATTTGCAGCTTCTCATGGCTCTGTGGCATTACCGGAGAGTAGATAGAAATGAAGTATTAAAACCAACCATTTGACAATTCCAGGCCAGTGGAAAAAACAGAATTTTGCACTCGCTTTCAAAGAAAAATGCTTAAACAGTGGTCACAAGATTGTTTTGTCATATTGTGCTTGTAAGTCAACAAGATAATAGAAATATATCACACCACAACCTAAACATTATCCTAACCCCTGTACGGAAGCCTAGATGGGACATATTTTCTCATCCCTTCAGGTCCTTACATCTTCCAGCTGTCGTTGCAGCCTCTCCTTATCAAGACTGAGCTGACTGTTGGTGACTCGCAGCTTCTCCGTGGACTCCACCTCCCTCTTCAGCTCCTGCCTCAGCCGGTTGTTCTCTGACACGGCCTTGGCCACGCCCTTCTGGGTGCTCTCGTAGCGGGTGCTCAGCTGGCCGCCCACCTGCCGCTTGAGCTTATCTAGTTCCGTCTGGTTGGTCAGATGGACGAGATCAAAGAAATCAATTCTTAAATGAGCTTCTTCCACCAAGATTGCTTAAGCTTGTGAAATACGAATTTGTCATAGTTATGCAACAGAGTACATTGTTTGAATTTCAGAAGGAACACTGCGCTACGACTTTCCATAAGATGAACAATTTCCAGCACTTTTTTCTCGGCATTTGCTGAGCATTTTGATTAACCATTTCATGTAAAACCATCAATCCCAATATTTTGTCCCACAAGTGCTATTCAAAGTTTTGGGGGAACGGTTTGAAAGCCTTTTGGTTGGTTTTCATTGTGTCAAAAGCAATATGCGATAAACGAGTTAAACCACAATTTACCCATTCTCATAAAGGCCATTTTTAATTCCATAGAATTTGTTGGCACATGTACTGAACATTGGTAAGAATGTCATCAAATATTGTAAGCACTTGGAGACTTTCCAAACATTTTGAGCAACTGAAATGGTTTAGAACTGAAGAACGGTCAACAAATTCAACTTGCCTTCAGTTTCTGATTTTCCTCTTTCAGTCCGTGAATTTCGGTCTGGACCGTGACCCCCGGCGCTTTCTTGAGTTCTTCATTCTCCCTCTGCACACGCTCGACGACCTTCTTCATCAGGCCGATGGTGCGTTCCAGCTCAGGAACCGACTTACCACTGGAACCCAGCGACTGCATTAGTAAACAAAGGAAACGCTGCTTGTTGAATTATAAAGGTGATCATCAATGGGCAACTTTGGGAAGCGCATGCCGACTGCCATTACATTTACACAGAGACCCGTATTCATAATTTTTGGGTACACAATTCAAGTTGGAATTTTTACATGTGAATAAGAACAATATTTTTGAGATTTTTGTATTTCTGCACTGTAATAGAGAATAGATACATATTAACAGCAGGAACAAGATATTGAGTTTCTTTCTTGTAATTCCTAGTCATTACTGGACTGAAGCTTCATTTTTAATTCGCTGAGACCCTAATGCGCCCTAATTCAAGCAGAGACCGAACAAGTACCAAACCTTGCCAATTTTTTCCTTCTGCCAATAGGAAACCTTGACGGGTCTGTTTAAATCGTGAACATTAAAGCTGGGTCTCCTTCTTATTCAGGGCTAGTTATCTCTGCATTCCTCATCAGAATGTTCCTCAGGCTTTGTGCATGAGGGGCTACGTGTCTGCCTAATCACCATGACCACCAAGACTCCCCCGCTATACCTTCTTGAGTCCCGCGGCCGAGCCAGAGGCGGCGGCAGAGGGCAGACGGCCCCTCCCCTTCTCTCTCTCTTGCTCCAGGTCAGCCTTCAACGCCTGGTTGTACCTCTGCAGGTCCTCCACGCGTTGCCTGAGCCTGGGCAGGTCTCGCTTGGCCTGCTCGGCGTCAAACCGCAGCTCTAGGTTCTCCTGGGACAGCTCCAGGATCTGTCTCTGCAGCTCCTGCTCTCGTTCTGGTTCAGCGGTCACCCCTGCACCTGGCACACTTCCTGACTTTTTTTTTATTTTCAAACATAAAAAATTTTTCATTAGAATGTCAGAACTCAATATTGTCATCTGCTTCCTTTTTGTATTTAGTGGTCAAAACAGGACAATTTGGGAAAGTGACATAGAAGTGACTGTTTGGTAGTTTTGTCCTTTATTGAAATATATAGGGGAAAAAACCAATATAAATGTCACATTTCCCAAATGCCCAAAAAAATTAAATTACAAAAATGACTAACTTTCGCTGAGGTTGATAAGAATTACTGTAACTCTAGCCACCACCCCCCCCCCGGAATTCAATGCAAAAATAGCCTGTGTGAAATATTCTGGCAGTTTGTCTTTTGTTTCTTCTTTTATAACTATTCAACAGGGCAAATATAAATAAAAGGAATATACAAAAATACTCCCCGCATCCGATACAATAAAATAACTGTCACAGTTGTCTGCCAATACCTCAGTAGTTTGAGCCAGCCGCCGGGCCATCTGGCGTTCCATCACGTCCAATTTCTCTGTCAACTGTCTGTTCTGCTGCTGTACCTCCTCAAGGAGTGCACCTTGGCCTAAGGCTTGCTGGCGTTTCAACGATGATACCTAGCTCAACAAAACAACAAGGACTTTTTGTGGCAAATGTAATCACTGCGGTTTCAAAGTTTCAACCGAGGAGAGATGCGCTCAGTTGAGTATAATGTTCCATGAAAACCTTCTATCTTTCCTTTAAAACTCACAAAATTACTCAAAAAGTTGAGCAAAGGATGAAAAATACAGGCAAGGCAAAATTCCTGCTCTTCGTGCGAAATCAGATGTATCAACTGTCCTTCATCAGCCATTGAGGGATTTTACAATCACCTCTTCTTCCAGCTCATAATTCTGTCGTTTCACTTCCTCAATGGCTGGGTCAGAGGTCACTGTCTTCTTTGTTGCCTCCAGTTTTGTGGATGTAGTAGGCTTGATCCTCTCCGCCCTGCATTAATAACAAAAGCATTTCCCCAGACTACTGTCATAACTTCTATCAGCTTAACCTTGCCCCAGCACAATAGAAGCCTGGAGACCCAACCTGATATTATACAGTTCACAGGGAGGATAGAAATACGTATATGACAGGCCTAGCTCAGAATGCCAAGCCTACTGATCTAGATATATGCATCAAGATATGTGCATCTAAATATTCAAATTAAGTTGAACTCGGGTCAGGGGTCATCAGGATATAACATTCTGGTACGGTCGAGTCATCCCAATGTCTAGGTATGATTTTACACACTAAAATCTTGTACGTCTAATTTTAAAGTTTGAGATGAGAGAGACCTGGACCCGTCTCACCTATTGAGGGCCTCCTTCATCATCTTTTTAGCCTTCTGTAGCTGTTCAATCTCCTTGTCTCTGTCCTTCAGTTTGTTGCGGAGACTCTCCACTCTCTTTTCCCACTTCTTTCCTTCCTCCCACTTGGCCACCTCTGCAGCACTCTGTCAACAAATCAAGACAAAGGAAATTGACCAAAATGATCAAATGATATTTCATTACTTGCCAGTAGCTTTGAATCGTGGGTTATTAATTGAAGTTTTCAACATATTTCAACAGCATGGCATTAATTTCTTTTTTAAGGTATCTCAATCAGATAGATTGTAATCATGCCATGTCTCCTTTAACCGAGGCTCATGCTGTTGGATGTTGTCTGAAATCTCCTCAAAATTTAAAAGCAAGGTTCATCGAGAACAAAGCAGTTGACATCACGTCAGCTCAAACGTGCTCAGTGCATGAGTTGGTGTATGACTATGCTCATAGGCCAACCTCGCACGTATTGATGTTCTTCAGTGACCTAAGACACATTCCATTTTGAGACTGCGCTGTTGAAATATTAAACTGGCTATGAACGACAATCATCTTGCAAGATAAATATAGTTTTAAAAAGACACCCACTACTACCTGCTCCTTCTTAAGGTCAGAGGTTGCTCCTTTGACATCTGACCCCTTTGTTTGTTGGAGCTGTTCCTCCAGAGATTGGATCTGTTTCTTGAGCCTGTCTACCTCGGCAGAGGGCCCCCTCTCTGGCTCTTCAGCCTGAAGGAGAAGGGAACAAAATTAAGTGGGAAAAAGTATGGAACTGAAAACTCCCATCTTAGACCACCTACAACATCGTGAAACAAACTAATGATAAAGAATTTCTTCAGAAATTACAGTATAAAAACAAAGTAGTCCTCAAAACTTGAAACGACACAATAAAACCTGAAAACAAAGGCACAAAGACATATTCAACTTAATCTTTAAAAAAGCATGGAGTGGATAACATACTTATATTTTAAAAAAAATGTCTTTTTGAAAAAAAAATCTGTTGCCTTTTTGTTCCCAAAAAATTTTAATTTTGGTCCTTTTAAATTGCTATGGATAGAATGTCCTTTTAAATCTAAAGCCTTCTCATTAATTACGACGATTGTCAACAGTATCAATAATTCCCCATTCATTTAACTGCTTTGAAGTAACAATTCCGTAGTTTCGGACCTTATGACCTCTGGTCTGCGCTTCCATCTTCTGCTGAAGTTTCTTGTGTTCTTCTTGCAGTTTGAGCCACGCTGATGACTTAGTTTCTAAATCCTACAAAAGAATGCCACAAAATCAGAGAACAAATTCTATCTTTGCTACAAGGTAATCAATGATTGCTGTGGTCAAGACTGCTTCCATAACCTTCTCCAAATATTTATCTAGTGAGACCGACAGTTCAGTTTGTAGTTTGAGAATGGATTCACAGGCAAGGGTGAGATTGGAAGAAAAAGAAATATCCGCAAAATAATAAGTAAGGTCTACGGTATCTACTTTGTGTTTGCCTATCAGCACCCCTTAAACATTTCTTGTGTTCTACGTCAACTTTTATACATAAAACAACTTATCAGTAAACTATGGGTTTTCTATATTTTAAAAGAGATTATTTGACAAATCCTGAAATCAATGAAATCCTGATGAAAAATCCTCCAACAAGGGAAAATATTAACAAATGTAAAGTACACAATACTTTGACCTTTAAGATATGAAAGTACTGTGTTTTTATGAGTCAAATTAAACAGTCATGAAAACTAGATCCTTAAAAGGTCTTCAAAACCTCTTGGTAGCACATCAAATCTAAGACTCACATGACATTTCACATTTAACTGAACACTGACTTGAAAGTCAGTGTTTCCCGACCCATGTCACCAAACAGCAAATATTTACAATTGAGGTAAAATAATCCTGAGCCATGCCCTTTTAGTAGATCCCTCTAGTTATCGTCAAAAGAGAGAGAGAGAGAGATGTGTCGTTTTACCTCTTTGAGTTCCTGAACTTCGCTGCTGAATGCAGAGCACTGTGCTTTCTGCTTCTTCAATTCCTTCTTGGCCCTGTCCAGCTTATCCCTTGTCTCTTCCAGCTGCTCCTGTGGTGGAAGGAAACCATTCTTATGGCTTGGAGACACTAAACACTGGAGGGATCAGCTGATGAGACCTCTTTCACCCAGTTTCCAGGTCAAAAAAAGTAAAAGCTTAATTGATAACTTTTCCCCAAATACTACAATAGTGCTGTACCGCCGCTCCAGTCAGTCCTAGATTGGCATATACACCCAGGTTTTTGGTCAAGGACACCAGACAAGAACCATGTACAAGCATGTACTGTGTGGTCAGAATCATACTCATCAAGTCGAAATGGCAGCTAGCATTAAACCTACCAAATGTATTACAGAGGGGCTCTGCCCATAACCCGTCCTGATTTCTGCATTCTGTACTCCAGTTCCAATGTTATCAATTTCTCTGAAAACTGGCACTAATTGGAATTAGTAAAAGGTAGAGGGGAAACAGTTTGATCCCAGGATTGCCTTTCTTGATGCCTCTTTCTGGAAATGGTAACTCAACTTTGTAGATGAAAGCTCCACGGGGCATCATTTCTTCCAAATATCCACCAAAAAGGTTTTTGTTGTTTGTGCCCTTAAATGTTTGTCAAAAGGTTCTGTGTCTCTGTCTTGTTACTTTACCTTGATGTGCTTAGTCTCCTTCTCCAGCAGTTTTTGCACATTGATCTGTTGCTCTTGTTCCTCTGCATTAGCCTTGACATTTTGTTGGGCGGTGTCCACCATGTCAGCTCTCAACTTCAGAAGTGCCTGACTCAGAGACTACAAGATCGCAAGACGAAAAAAAAAATCAGAAATCAGTGAACAACACAAAGATTGAATGAATTACATTCGAACCTTGCTAAATAGTACCAGACATCACACGCAAAAGGCATTTTTAGAAACAATGAATTTTTAAGGTGAAGACTACATTCTTATTTCTAAGGATGTTTTACAAGATATTACATTTTTGTGCATAAAAGAAATTTGAATAAAATTATTTTTTTTAAAACTGTACGTAAAATATTCTCAAAACTGACAGCTGATAACAAAACTGTGAAGGAATCTACATGATTTAACAAGAGCAAAATTTTGTAGTTCAAAGTTCACTAAAAATAGAACAGGACAGTGTGCCTTTAACTGTCGGAACATTAAACATGATTTTTTTCTTCCTTTGACATCGTGAATTATATAAAACAGCAGCTGGATGCATGAATGCTTTAAATATGCCTGGAACCTCGTTACCTTGTGTTGTTTCTCCTTCAGTGCCAAATCGTGTTTTAGTCTCTCCACCAGAGCTTTCATGGTTGTGGTGGGAGCTCTGGCATTGGCTTCTCGCTGGGCTTCAAGGTCAGTCTGTAAGTTCTTTATCTGAAATATGGCGTACACAGAGACTTTAATCAGCCAATCAGCATTACCCTGCTCGCCTCTCCTTTTCCTCACGGACTTTGTATTCATCAAAAGAATTATTCTTCCACAGGGGAATCTTTTAAATCATAGCGCCACTGCTGTGGTTGCGTCCATCACAAGTCCCTGTGACCCTGTCACCAGTCATCCTGTCTTTAAACCAAGCCACTAACTATCCAAACGGAGTGTGACAAAAGCACACCCTGATACTTATGGCTGGTCTCATGGAAGGACCTGTGACTGGACCGGTGAAGGGATTTGTGAAAGGACTTGTAATGTTTTCAACTACAGTACTGCCTGACGTCCCTTCCCATACCCTTGAAAATCCATCAAGAAGCTGTGAAAGGTATTACAGGATTGGGGAGGTAAGAGAGGCACTGACAGAGACACCGCCTGATTTCCATTAACTGTACAAACTCGTGACATGAAGTCAGAATCTTTTTTAAAAAAACAAACGTTACCTCTTCTTCTTTTTCCTGTATTAAAGTCTTCAAACTGCTGATTTCGCCTTCCAGACGAGTCACTTCACCTTTGTGCCCTTCCATCAATCTGACGGGGAGGGGACCAAAAAGTAACCATCAGTTTTACAGACAAAATTCAAAGATTTCTGGGAAATTTGTGAAACTGACTGTAATCAATGGGATCTGAAGGGACATAATATGTTTTTGGAGGGAGGGGATTCACTTGAACAAAGACACAAACAGCCAACACCAAGCCAGATAATTCAGTTGTTGAAGTGCTCATATGCCATCCTGCAGGCTACAAAGTCCAGTCAATTTCTTTCCCCAACGGACATTTAAAAATACTGACAAAAAAATACTGACTAATACTCAGCCTGCCAGAATGAATCCTAAGTCAGCAAAAATACTAGCAAGTGGCAGACCATGAAACAAATTTTAAGAAAAACCAACATGAACTGAACTTTATATCCACAAGTCTGTATTAAGACTCAGTTTTGCAGAATCTGTGACATTACTACTTGTGTCCAGGGATCTGTATAATAAAATCTGGACTTGCAATGTACTTAATCAGCTTATAGAGTCATTGAATCCGCTCGCAGCCATTTTACCGAGCCGAATACAAACCTTTCCTGGCAATGCCCGCCTTTGTTCTTCCTGACGTCAATAGAAGGGAGCCAACCCACGCATTTGTATTCGGCTCAGTAAAATGGCCGCTGGTTGGCTTCTTCTTCATACAAAGGCGTTGCAAGTCCAGGTTTTTATATACGTCCGTGCTTGTGTCATGAAAGCTCCTGACTACGCTTGTATAACGCTCTGTACACAAATATCCCTTCAATGGTGACAAACAGAAAGACTTAGGTACTGTGTCTACGATGTCCACTCTGATAGGGTCAATATTTATGAAGACACTCATGTACACTGAGTGTCAGATGGATGCTAACAAGCAAAGCATACAGAGTGTGTCATCCTGTAAGAGACTACTGATAGGAAAGACACTTCACTCTCTTGTTCGCAAATGGAGCCTATGGAGTATCAAAGTGTGACGTCATTTCCAACCAAGACGGGCAGTGCACTTTGGCACTCTATAGGACCCAGACAGTCAGAATGCTGAAGAACATTCCAACAAGATCACGGCTTCTTTCAATCATGGACACCCGCCGTTCTGAATGAGAAAGGTCTGTGAGTGTGGGTACATGGTAATGGCATATGTGTATGTGAAATGGGAATAGATCAAATTCCCACAAGGACTACACAAAGTTCCCTCATGGAGCATTCCAATGTGAGTAGGAACCGTTTGTCCTTTGAGACGCTCCCTTCCAAATGTCTTGACACAGCGGCTCGGCTTGCTGCGACCTGCCCCCTCAACGTACCTGACCTTCTCTGCCTTGTGCTCCTGCACCTTGCGTTCCAGCACCCCTTTCCACTTGCTGGTCTCGGTGTGGGCGGCCTTCAGCTTGATGGACATGGCTGACAGGGAGTTGTCCTGCTCCGCCAAGAGATCCTCCAGCTCCTGCAGGCGAGCCAGCTGTTTGTTGGTGGGCACGGGGGGTCCCGGCTGATTCACCAGGGTCTGGTGGTCGGGCAGAGAGGAAAGAGGGTAAATTCATCAGAAGAGAGTGAATTTGTATTAAATTTTGTGATATGCTGTGATATGGCTGATTTGATTGATCTGTAATTATAACTTCACAGATATTGCCAGAATGATCACCTACTACGTGGACAAGGTACGCAGTGCACTGACATGGTAAATAGGCTTGTTTTCTGATGACGTCACACATTGTTTACAAGTGCACTTTCTTACTGGAGCCAGGTGAGACGACGGATTCCAACCTCCATAGGAAAGTGTTAAATGTAAACAGATTAACACCGTAAGTACATAGGCCAGCTGAGTCTCAGGAAATGTCTCCTCTACCCACCTGTCCAATGGACAGGACAAATCTATTTTGGAAAGGCAGTTTTTGCTTGCTGAAACATTTAGCCTTGCCCATTTTGTTCCACAAACCTTCAATAATGGTGGGAAAAATAGTTTTTGTATCTCCTCCCAAAATACTGTGCTCAATGGAAGCCCAGGCTCATGTTGTGGTAAGTATCAATTTGAAGCATCTCGGTTAGAAATGAGCAGGCAGTTTCTCAGTATTCCCTGAGAGAAGACAGACGGACAGTTGATCCTTGATGAGACCTTAGTCTTGGCTCGGGCAATCACTGAACCCATGATGGACACACTTAGGGGTTTTAACCAACAGAGATAAAATGCTAGCCTCACCTGGGCAGCCTGCTTGAACTTGCTGAACGCAGAGTCTGACTGACCATGCAGTTTCATCTGCAGGGAGTGCATGTCTTCCAAATGTTTCTTATGCTCAGCTGCCGATTCCTGAAATGGCCAACAAAGAGGGAAATAATACGACACTCCAGAGAGCAATTGGAGCCATTCAGTAGAGTGTCTTTTTCACTGCTCTGAAAATTCTTTCGTGATACAAGTCTATGTAGTACAGCTGAAACAGTGTGTTGTAACTTTGCATGGAGCACGTTAATATTCCCATTCCCTCTAAAATGAACCAAAAACCACTGAAAGTATTAATATTTCCATGCATTCACGAACCAGGAATTAATTAGTATCAGTGAAAGAACGTATCAAGCTCTTGCCCTTCATGAACACACCTGCCGTGCTTCTTCCAAAAGTCCCACATATTTCTGCAGTCCTTCCTCTTTCTTCTGTAAACGAGCCTGTTGCAAAACAGAAGAATAAAAAAAATGTATATTCTATGTCTTCACAACCTGTTTTAGCAGCTCTTCAGTTTAAACCCAGCAATGTCCATTATATTCATAGTTTTCATGACATAAAAAGGTGGCCGGGGTCTCCGAACTCGGACAAAGGAAACAGGGCCCTGTAACAAAAGAAATGGCTGAAATACTCGGGCGTCAATGAAGGTTACCTGTCAACTTAGAGTAGTGCCTAAAGATTACTTGGTGCGGCTATAAACGACTGTTAAATGAAATGACAAATTTTGAAGGATTTTGAAAACGGAAAAAATGATGGTCATGCAGGCCCAGCATCATCAACATTGGAAAATGCCCCGGCATGAAGTGGTTAAAAATGTCACAAAAATAGGAAATCTCCAGTCAAGATTTGTTTTAAAAGTATTCACCTGTACGTCTTTTATATACAACCGGGCAACCTTGAGGGCCTACATGCTTTGCCAAGATCTAAAGCCAGGACTAACCTGTAGGCCTTCTATCTGAGTCTGGGCCACCTTCAGCACCTGCTTGCTTAGCCCGAATCTAAAGCCAGGACTTGCCTGAAGTCCTTTTATTTGAGTCTGGGCCACCTTGAAGGTCTACATGCTTTGCCTAGATCTAAAGCTAGGACTCACCTGTAGGCCTTCTATCTGAGTCTGGGCCACCTTCAGCACCTGCTTGCTTAGCCCACATCTAAAGCCAGGACTTGCCTGAAGTCCTTTTATTCGAGTCTGGGCCACCTTGAAGGTCTACATGCTTTGCCAAGATCTAAAGCCAGGACTCACCTGTAGGCCTTCTATATGAGTCTGGGCCACCTTCAGTACCTGGTTGCTTAGCCCAAATCTAAAGCCAGGACTTGCCTGAAGTCCTTTTATTTGAGTCTGGGCCACCTTGAAGGTCTACATGCTTTGCCAAGATCTAAAGCCACGACTCACCTGTAGGCCTTCTATCTGAGTCTGGGCCACCTTCAGCACCTGCTTGCTTAGCCCAAATCTAAAGCCAGGACTTGCCTGAAGTCCTTTTATTCGAGTCTGGGCCTCCTTGAGGGCCTACATGCTTTGCCTAGATCTAAAGCCTGGACTAACCTATAGGCCTTCTATCTGAGTCTAGGCCTACTTCAGCACCTGCTTGCTTACCCCAAATCTAAAGCCAGGACTTACCTGAAGTCCTTTTATTCGAGTCTGGGCCACCTTGAAGGTCTACATGCTTTGCCAAGGATCTAAAGCCAGGACTCACCTGTAGGCCCTCTATCTGAGTCTGGGCCACCTTCAGGGCCTGCTTGTGCTCACAGGTCTCTTCCAGAGCTTTGAAGCGGACTCCCTGGGCCATGCCGTCCTTAATGATCTCATCCCTTTCTGAGGAGGCCGGGAGACGAAGGCGCAGTTCATTGATGATCTTGTCTCGCTGGAGGAGGTTGTCCTCCGTCTCCTTGAGCTGCGTCTCCGTTTCTGCCAGTTTCTGATTGGAGGACCAACGATAAGCAAAATTTGAGCTTTTCTACAGCCAACACACTGTCATGAGCAGGCATTTCATAGTGAGAATGGCTTGGGTATAGCATTACACGAATGCAAGGTTTACATGTTTGAACAACTTCAGCAATCTGCAATTCCAAGACCAAGTTTTGGTATATCGGTAGCAGGTACTTGCTCTTCCACTGAGCCAAATGTCGATGCCAATGGGAGTATAATCAGATAGTGCTCGCTACCTTCTGCAGGGCTGTGTTCTCTGCCCTCACATCCAGGATGGTCTTGATGTGGGTCTTGATGGACCTGATAGCATGCTCCAGCTGGCTGGATATGGGCAAGCTTGGGTCGGGCAATGATCCTGTGGCCTCCTCAAACTGAGAACGGAAAACAAAGTGAAATAGAGGAAAACATGTACTCCTGCACCGTAGTTGCGGGGACATAGACTCGACAATTCACCTATTTTGTGGGGACCGAAAATGTTGTGGGGACTCAGAAATGTCCCCACAACTCGGTCAAACTTCCCTAACAAAAGAATTTGTTCCCTGAACGCGGTGAATGTCTACTTATCATATCCCATTGACTTAAGGATAGATGCCACTTTAACAGTACTCCTGCACATGTCAAATTCCTGAGAAAAATATCACCAAACAATACTGAAAGAAAACTGCGTAAGCCACAAAATGATCTGAGCCTCCACAATATCAGGAACTCATGAATATTCACGGCAAGTGCTTGACCTTTGAAAATCGTGCATATTCAGAGCCTACCCTGAGTGCAGCATTGGCCATCTCCTTCTGCTGTCTCTCCAGGCTGTCAATCATCCTCTCCAGCTCCAACTCCCGCTGTTCCCATAGCAACTGCCTCTCCTCAGACTCCCTGGTGACGCGGACATTGTCCTGCTCCAAGTACGTGATGGTTTTCTCATGCTTGGCCGAGAGTCCGTCCAGAAACTTATTCTGAAGAAGAGTAGATTTATGAAAGTTTTGTTCCAGTTTCTCAAAATTGCTTAGCCTATTTTGGGTTTGTCCTCCTGGACGTGGTGTGTGGCATGATTTTCTCAAATTTTCAGAAAGCCCTAAGGTAAATTTTCTTCTTTTCTCACAAGCTTTCCGAAAAGAGAGACAAAACTTGGCCTAATAGGCCACAACTTTGCTACGGAAAGCACGGCAGTACTCCTGTCTTTTCCACCATCCATCTTAATTCTGTACCCGCCCACCGTATCATCCATGCTCTGCCCCTCCCACCCCTTACCTCCCCTCCTCACCTGTTCCTGCAGACGTCCTATCTGCCTGGTCAGCTTGAGCTGCTGCAGCCGGGTATCCTGCATCTTGGCATGCCATTCGGCCACCTTGACGGCCCCCTTGCCGTCCTGCAGGGTCTCCATCAGCTCCTGCAGCCCGTGGTGCTTCAGCTCCAGCTCTGCCAGTTGGTCTGAGACCTTCTCCCTCTCGTACTTCAACTGCAGGACAAGCAGAGTGATCAATGTCCCCAGGTTAGTTTCAGCTCAAAGGTGTCACTGATGTCAACTGTAAGATCGAGGAGCACTGAGAATTCTTCAGCGTCAAAGGCTCCGAGGGAGTTAAAAGTCAAATGGACACATTCACAGCTTCTCAACACAGTAACTGAATTTCAGCACCTCACTCATTATTACCCCCTTGCACTAGTGATCCCAAGCTTTATCCGCCCCGAGCTGAAGTGCACCCCAATCGGCAAAAGAAAGACAGATGGTTACAAGCGGGCTTTTGCACGCGCTCTGCGTGTACGCAAAGACCATACATTTCGGAATTAATTAGTTACGCATACTCAACGTACTCCGCATCAAATGCGCATATACTCGCACGCCTCGTGGCATCCCTAAGCAGTGGGTACCAAAAAATGCCCTCTTTTGTTCCACTCCAAGCGGATTACATTGCATTCTTGGCATTTTTCTACATTTTGACTTTGTCTTCAGAATGGGCTTCAACCACAGCTCTAGGCTCATGAGGACTCTGTACTAAAATGATCTGAGCTCTGGACTTGAAATACTGCATTTTGTGTGGCCAAAAATGAACCATGCCTGGGCCGTTTTCCAATACTCAACTTCGTCTCCGTCTCATCAGGCTTCGTTCCCAAAACCAATCCCCGATTGTGGGCCTGAAGCGTTTCAATCAAATTGGATTACTGTAAGTTTTTGCTCTCTTGCATCTTATTTGATGTTTTGTGGCACTATTAGACTAATTAGTGCATTTACAGCTTCAAAGTCAGGTAGTAAAAAAAACAGTTGAAGCCTGAGTTGAAGCTGAGTATTGGAAAACGGCCCTGGATTAACATTTTCCAAGCCAAGAGGCCTAAGTCTGTAAAACTGGGATCTGAAAACTACTGCTACAAAGCAACAATCTTCACCCCTATTAAAAAGCCATTTCAGAATCTGTAAACTATGCCCAGCTAGTGGTCATTCAATTCATTTATAACAACAAAACAGAGAGGAGATGGTGTCTCTCAATACTAATGCTCACTTCAAATCCTTACCACTTTGACTTCGCTTTGCATTTGTTCTTTTTCATTCTTTAGCTGCAGCATGGCTTTGGAGAATTTCTCCTGGTCACCGAGTGGAACGGCCCCACTGAACTGACGTCGTAGTTCCTGCAAGAGGGGATGAGGAAGTCAGGAAAGAAAAGAACTTGACAAGTGGTCAATAGGAATAAGCATGCGCACTAGAATTAGAAAAAAATTCATAGAAGCCAAAAATGCATGCATCGACCACTAACAGTTGGCACTCACGGAGCAGCCTGGGACAGTTAGGCTCCAGAAACAGGTGGCCACAATTAAAAGGTGATCTGAGTATCTGACCACAAAGACCAGCTGGCTGACAGCTGATAACTTATGAGCAGTTGAAAAAATAGGTGGACTCAGTGGAAAAATGGAGGAAACAATTTAAAGGTGGCCTTAAAATTTAGAACCACCAAAATGTCTTACTCATTACCGATTTAAACTTTTAAGGGAGCACATGGCCAGAATAGATAAGTGGCCAAAATAGAGGGGTTTTCAATTTCTGACGCAGTCAAACATTCATAAAGAGAAACATTAACAGAGAGGGCTTCTTGACTAGTACATAACAAGGAAAGATCTCCAGCAAACCTTTCAGTGTCACTTTCTGTTCAAATAGTCATTGCCTGGCACACTTGCATTAAATAAACAAAATTATCTACATCTTCAGTTCCGGAACCCACCACCCCATCAACGTGACTTTTTTTTGACGTGGCCTTACCTGGATCGTTCTTTTGAGATGCCTGGCCTTGTTGCGCGCATCCACCTGACAGTGGTAGAGACTCTGTGCCTTCTCGTCTAGCTGTCGCTCCAGGCGAAGCACCCGAGCTTCCATTTTCTTATTCTTGGCATTGGCAGCTTCCAGTTTGCGGACGGCCGTGCCTTCGCTGATTTGGAGAGCCACAATGTGGTGGTGGAGCTTCCCTGGGGAAGATTGGAGGAATTATGGAATCACATGACGTAAAAAATGAAAACAAAATATAACAAAAATTGCATGGACTCTACAGAAGCTAACTGATGGTATGAAAATGAAAGACACGTGGTAGGTGAATGGAACCTAGCATGCACCAGTTTTCATCAGAATTTGTACAAAAGCAGTTTCGCATCATTCCAAAAGCAAACATACCACAGTATGGGCATGCATGCAAAATGAAATAAAAGGATATGTCAACAATAGAAATGTTATCTCTAACCCCCGAGGGTGTACGTAAAAATCATCCTGAAATCCGAGGATTTGGGACTGTTAGGGTTACTTGAATGCTGGACCCCAAAAGTGACTTTCCTGCTAGCGAAAAACTCTTTATTTTTGTCCTCCCAACATTGTCCAAAAAAAAAGAATGTTGATGCAAGTTTGGCCTCTTTCACACCTAAGAACAGGTAGCAGAAACAGGAAACAATTGAATTGCCTCTTCAAACAAACAAGTGTGATTTTACTCTAAGTAAATTTGTTAGCATTTCATGCATTTAGTACAGGGTCCTTCCAGGTGAGAAATTTCATTCCAATGGTTTGACAACCCTCCCCAGAATATTTTAATCTCTGGCCTGCAAAAGCAAGTTGGTTGAGTGCATACTGCCTATGAGGCATGCACATTCCACTATTAATAAGAGGATCGTTCCTACCTATAATTGCCTTCTCGTTGCTTTGGGTCTGAATGTCGATGAGCTGTTGCCGTAGCGACAGCACTTCTTTCTCCCTAGAGATCTGCCTGGATTCCAAAGCCTTGGTCTGGAAGGATGCGACATCAACCATCTCCTGCAAATGAGGAAGGTGCACGTCAAATCAAAAAAAATAAACCACAGAAGACTCCTGTTGAGAGGGTAGCATCAGCCTAAACTTTCTGGCAGGCAATTCAAAGTTCTATTTTCCCGAATTATGTACGATGAAAATAACCCCCCCCATTCAGGCATTTCAACTGTTCAACTATGACCAATTGACTCATTTTTCTGGAGCTTCAGGCAATAAATGCAATTTATACTGTCATTTAACTTTAAAACAGTATCTGTAAGAAAGCTTTGATGGTAATCAGTAATTCTTGAATCCATGATTTGAGTTGGACTCCAGTTAAACATGATGAGATAGCCTCTTTAATGTTTCGTAACAAATTTTAGAGTAAAAACGAAGAATAAATTTCAGACACGGAGAGAAACAGGAAATGGTAGCGAGTGAAACGTTAATGAAAGGAAGTTGACAGCATCAAGGAGCGAAGGAAGGAAATGAAAGATAAATGTGAAACCTTGAGTTTTTCATTCTCCAGTCGCAGCGTAGCCTCTGACCTCTCCAGTTCACCGATACGTCTCTTGTCCATGTCGCTGGCTGCCTTGGTGACGCAGGTGGTCAGCTCGTCTCGCAACTCTCTCTCTATCTTCTGCCCTTCAAGGTTGAGTCTAGTGAGCTGCCAACAGAAAGGCAAATCATTATACAAATGATCACAAGGACACAAGCTCTCCTGATCTTTAGGAATTGTGCCATGATGTAAAACTTTGATAAACAAAAAAATTGGAAAACTGAACAAAATGGAAAAATGCCAACCAAACTTCATTTTCTTTGTAAACACAAATAATGAAGATCTGTGAGAACCTATTCATGTGTGCTTCTGAAGCAACAAATTTACAACAATTTCCTCCTCTAAATGATTTTCTCCCAACTTAGGGAGCATGCAAGGAAACAGGGAAACATAAAAATTCAGAATTTATGCAGGCCTGATGATTTGGTATGCATAGTCTTTTGGGAAAGGCACTGCTCCTCGATAACCGGACTCCTCCTCATCACCCCTGATGGGTACCAGTGGCCACCAAAGTGGGTTGGTCATTTTGTTTGAATGGTCTATTGCAAAAAATGCAAGATTAATTGCGGGCCTGATCTACAGTAAACATAATGTGGCATCTTGACCCCGATGTTAGGTACGGCATGCTGGTATAACTGCAAGATTCTTGGATATCTCAAAAACGGTGCCAAATTCTTTCCCGCTCACCTCTGCAAATTTTTGCTCCAGTTCCAGGTTTCGGTTCTCCATCTCAGTCAATGTCTTGCGCAGTTGGTCCTGCATCCTCACGGCATGTTCCGCTCGCTGCCTCTCGTTCAGTTCCTTCATCTCCATGGTGGTCAGTCGCTTGGCCAGTGACAGGTGCTCGCTGGTCTGCACATTGGACTTAGTCCCAGCTCCCCCTGTCGAAAGGTAAATATGGTGATTATCGGATAAAACTTGTGATTGGGCAGAGGGCAGCAGCTT